AAAGTAGAGACACTACATACTGATATACACCTGAACGTCAGCAGGAGAGGACTCTTTAAAGTAGAGACTCTACATACTGATATACACCTGAACATCAGCAGGAGAGGACTCTTTAAAGTAGAGACACTACATACTGATATACACCTGAACATCAGCAGGAGAGGACTCTTTAAAGTAGAGACACTACATACTGATATACACCTGAACATCAGCAGGAGATGACTCTTTAAAGTAGAGACACTACATACTGATATACACCTGAACATCAGCAGGAGAGGACTCTTTAAAGTAGAGACACTACATACTGATATACACCTGAACATCAGCAGGAGATGACTCTTTAAAGTAGAGACACTACATACTGATATACACCTGAACGTCAGCAGGAGAGGACTCTTTAAAGTAGACACTCTACATACTGATATACACCTGAACATCAGCAGGAGAGGACTCTTTAAAGTAGAGACACTACATACTGATATACACCTGCACGTCAGCAGGAGAGGACTCTTTAAAGTAGAGACTCTACATACTGATATACACCTGAACATCAGCAGGAGAGGACTCTTTAAAGTAGAGACACTACATACTGATATATACCTGAACGTCAGCAGGAGAGGACTCTTTAAAGTAGAGACACTACATACTGATATACAGTACACCCTGAACATCAGCAGGAGAGGACTCTTTAAAGTAGAGGCACTACATACTGATATACACCTGAACATCAGCAGGAGAGGACTCTTTAAAGTAGAGACACTACATACTGATATACACCTGAACATCAGCAGGAGAGGACTCTTTAAAGTAGAGACACTACATACTGATATACACCTGAACATCAGCAGGAGATGACTCTTTAAAGTAGAGACACTACATACTGATATACACCTGAACGTCAGCAGGAGAGGACTCTTTAAAGTAGAGACTCTACATACTGATATACACCTGAACATCAGCAGGAGAGGACTCTTTAAAGTAGAGACACTACATACTGATATACACCTGCACGTCAGCAGGAGAGGACTCTTTAAAGTAGAGACTCTACATACTGATATACACCTGAACATCAGCAGGAGAGGACTCTTTAAAGTAGAGACACTACATACTGATATACACCTGAACGTCAGCAGGAGAGGACTCTTTAAAGTAGAGACACTACATACTGATATACAGTACACCCTGAACATCAGCAGGAGAGGACTCTTTAAAGTAGAGACACTACATACTGATATACAGTACACCCTGAACATCAGGAGGAGAGGACTCTTTAAAGTAGAGACTCTACATACTGATATACACCTGAACATCAGCAGGAGAGGACTCTTTAAAGTAGAGACACTACATACTGATATACACCTGAACATCAGCAGGAGAGGACTCTTTAAAGTAGAGACACTACATACTGATATACACCTGAACATCAGCAGGAGATGACTCTTTAAAGTAGAGACACTACATACTGATATACACCTGAACGTCAGCAGGAGAGGACTCTTTAAAGTAGACACTCTACATACTGATATACACCTGAACATCAGCAGGAGAGGACTCTTTAAAGTAGAGACACTACATACTGATATACACCTGCACGTCAGCAGGAGAGGACTCTTTAAAGTAGAGACTCTACATACTGATATACACCTGAACATCAGCAGGAGAGGACTCTTTAAAGTAGAGACACTACATACTGATATATACCTGAACGTCAGCAGGAGAGGACTCTTTAAAGTAGAGACACTACATACTGATATACAGTACACCCTGAACATCAGCAGGAGAGGACTCTTTAAAGTAGAGGCACTACATACTGATATACACCTGAACATCAGCAGGAGAGGACTCTTTAAAGTAGAGACACTACATACTGATATACACCTGAACATCAGCAGGAGAGGACTCTTTAAAGTAGAGACACTACATACTGATATACACCTGAACATCAGCAGGAGATGACTCTTTAAAGTAGAGACACTACATACTGATATACACCTGAACGTCAGCAGGAGAGGACTCTTTAAAGTAGAGACTCTACATACTGATATACACCTGAACATCAGCAGGAGAGGACTCTTTAAAGTAGAGACACTACATACTGATATACACCTGAACATCAGCAGGAGAGGACTCTTTAAAGTAGAGACACTACATACTGATATACACCTGAACATCAGCAGGAGATGACTCTTTAAAGTAGAGACACTACATACTGATATACACCTGAACATCAGCAGGAGAGGACTCTTTAAAGTAGAGACACTACATACTGATATACACCTGAACATTAGCAGGAGATGACTCTTTAAAGTAGAGACACTACATAATGATATACACCTGAACGTCAGCAGGAGAGGACTCTTTAAAGTAGAGACTCTACATACTGATATACACCTGAACATCAGCAGGAGAGGACTCTTTAAAGTAGAGACACTACATACTGATATACACCTGAACGTCAGCAGGAGAGGACTCTTTAAAGTAGAGACACTACATACTGATATACAGTACACCCTGAACATCAGCAGGAGAGGACTCTTTAAAGTAGAGACACTACATACTGATATACAGTACACCCTGAACATCAGGAGGAGAGGACTCTTTAAAGTAGAGACTCTACATACTGATATACACCTGAACATCAGCAGGAGAGGACTCTTTAAAGTAGAGACACTACATACTGATATACACCTGAACATCAGCAGGAGAGGACTCTTTAAAGTAGAGACACTACATACTGATATACAGTACACCCTGAACATCAGCAGGAGATAGCTCTTTAAAGTAGAGGGACTACACAGATGACGTTTTTTTATGGATTTATTGTCAAAGCACTTCAGATATTCATTGCTATCGGGATGTTAAGAGCATTCCATGGAATATAACAAAAAGTGTATCTCGAGCCGGTTTCTCAAACTTACCTACCCCACCTTTAAGGGTGTTGATAGGATATCTAAGGGCCCAATGATTTTCCAATAGGATGTTGGTAATTAAGATAAGATAAGATAAGATGGTACTTTATTGATCCCAATTTGGGAAATTGTTTTTGTTGCAGCAGCATAAAAGACAAGGCATTTTACAATAAAACAAAACTACAAATAAACAAGAATAGAAAGAAAAGAAAAGAAAATAGAAAATATACATGTTGAAATAGAAAACATACATGTAGATATTATGTATACAAATATATATATTCAAAAATATATGACATATGGAATATTAAATATAAAATATTGAACAGATTATATATGTGTAAAATGTACAACGTGGTTTTACAATGAAGAAGGCAGGGTATAGTGTTTAATTTTTAATTAGGTTTAATATTTTTGTTTTATTGAGGGTCACCAGGCTTATTCCAAGTTAAAAGCCACTCATGGCTGCAGGGGTTCAGGTAGAGGACCTCCAAAGTTACCTTCAGATACAATAAGAAGGTAAGTCTTATCAAAAGTAGAACACTGCTGACCTCTGTTGGCTAACATTGGAACTGCAGATGAATGGAGGTGTCTGATCTGAAGGAGGCACTAAATAGACAGTGTAAAACAAGCCTGCTGACTTTCATTGCTTTCTCTTTGCCTTCTATAGATTAGCACAGTGGTGTAAAAGTACAAGACATAACTTAATTAAAGATAGCCTTCAAAATATACTCAGAGTCCAAAAATTAAAAGTAGCCTATTTCTGAATAATATTTATATAATATTACTGCACTATGATTATTGATGCATTCATGAGTCTATAGCAGCTGGCATTTTGTATTAGCTAATAATCTGAATATGTAGAACAACTAGTTGCTAAAGCTCTCAGATAAATAATAATAATAATAAATAATATTTATATATAGTGCTTCTCTAGAACTCAAAGACGCTTGTAGCAGAGTTAAGAGTACAACATGTACATCCAAAATGTAGTGGAGGAGTATACATACTGATATACACCTGAACATCAGCAGGAGAGGACTCTTTAAAGTAGAGACACTACATACTGATATACACCTGAACATCAGCAGGAGAGGACTCTTTAAAGTAGAGACACTACATACTGATATACACCTGAACATCAGCAGGAGAGGACTCTTTAAAGTAGAGACACTACATACTGATATACACCTGAACATCAGCAGGAGAGGACTCTTTAAAGTAGAGACACTACATAACTTAAACACATATTTCTCGATGATGATACCTCACAGAGTAAATTGATATCATTGTGATTCCTATATGTTATGTATGTGTCTGTGTAGGTGTTGAGGTGGGGTTCCCTGCAGGATTCAAGCTAACGAGCATTTAGCTGCTGCTTCTCCTGCAGTCCAGTCAGCCGCTGCCTTTGATGTCGGCGTGTTTTTCCCAGCGTCGGTGAAGGTGGAGGTTGATTTGCATACAAAGATATTCTCTCCTCCTCTTTGTTCTCGGTCAGAGAGAGTGGTGGTCTACACTCTGGTACTTCTATTTTTACTGAAGTACAAGATCTGAGTACTTCTACTTTTATAAATATAATCAAGTGTTAAATCAGACTTTAGTTCCACCTGGAGTAAATTCACAAGCTACCCTGCAGAATACAAAGTCATTAAAACTAGCTGCACCTTTACCAGCTTTGATAACACTTTAATGATCAATCATTATATCAAAACCTATATAATGGAAAACAAATGTATGATCACAAAACATTTTTCCCAACGTTTAAAATCCGTCATACCAGTCCCATATTTATATTATTATTATTATCATTATTATCATTATTATTATTATTATTATTATTATTATTATTATTATTATTATTATTATTATTATTATTATTATTATTATTATTATTATTATTATTAATATTATTATTATTATTATTATTATTATTATTATTATTATTATTACTATTATTGTTATTATTGTTGTAACTCATATTTATTTTAATACCGTTTTTCACCACAGGGAGGCAGTGAATTTATGTTTAAAAGAAAAACTAAAATCCCATGATGCATTGCGGTGGTCCGTTTCTAGCTTCCGGTCCTCAGAAGCTACACGTTGCTAACAGACGTTGACGCAGATTTTATACTGAATGTAATGTGTTAAAGAGACTTTTAAAACACATAGGCTACAAAGACTTAGTTTATCCTTGGAGGGTGATCTATCCGTGCTTTTATTCGTTAAACCGTGTTTTTGTTGCCTCCCGTTCTTTGTTCGTAGCTTTTTATACCACGTTGCTGATCGGTAAACACAAGTAAAGGCATTAAAGGGAGATTAGTGTGTTTAACGGCAGTGTTTTATCAAGGAGAAGAAAGACTGAAGAACCAGGACGAAGAGGAGAGAGAGGTAACATCCTTCAGAGTGTGTGTCTGTAAGTGTGTGTGTGTCATGACGAGTTTGTATACTGCAGGGTAGCTTGTGAATTTACTCCAGGTGTAACTAAAGTCTGATATTTCACATCATTCATCCACATCTGTAAAGTAACTAAAGGTACATGTAGTGAAGTGAAAGTACACCATTTACCTCTGAATTGTAGTGGAGTAAAAGTACAAAGTAGCATTAAATGGAAATAGTGTTGACAGATCTGCTGTTCAAGTGGCCGTGACAGACCTCCCCTAACAAAAAATGCTAAATTGGCTATAATTTGGTTTGATGGAAAGGATGTATGTCTCAATAATGTCTTACCAGACATGTGAAACTAGACAGAACATCCTGAACTCTTGACCTATGCACATTATGCATTTTAGAAGGGGCAAGCAAAGCATAAAAGTTCCAACCACAATTCTAGGAAGGCGTTGTGGTTTTTGACACCTTGACAACGGTTACAACGATTGAGGAGAACAATGCACACAGGATGAGAGTGAACTGTGTACAGACTTGATGATTTTAGGTCTGTGAGTGCAGACGTTGATGTGTCCCATTATCATTCATATCACATCATATCATAATGTATCATATATCTCCTTATTTGAGTCGGCTTCTTGAGCCGTATCTGGCCGTGCAACACTCAGTAGGGCTGTGCAATTAATCCTATTTTAATCGCAATTACGATTTTGGCCTGCCACAATTACGAAAACAACATAATCGAAAAAAACAATTATTTTGCTTTGCTAGGTTGTGACTGTGCACTGCAACATATTTGATCTAATTTAATGTTGGTCTCATTTATTTGTATTTATCATATTTATATATGTTTAGTAGCTTGGGGAAGTGCGCTCCAAAATATTTGTTGATCTTGTTTATTGGTATTTATTATTTTGATATTATTTATTTAAATGTATCATTTATTTTTGTATTGGTTTTTCATTTGAATTATGCGTTCAGGGTAATCAACAGTTAAAAAGATACTGTTCAAATTATTATTTGTATTTGTTTTAAAGTTCAATAAATGGATTTTTTCAAAGTCAATTAATAATAGTGATATCAATTATTGACCCAAATAATCGTGATTATGATTTTTGCCATAATCGCACAGCCCTAACACTCAGTGTCACATACTGTATGCAGAAGTATTATTTTAAGCAACACGTTGACGAAACACTCTAGTCAAATGTAATTAAAGTCAGATCCACTCGTGTCTTAGACAGGGCAGTGATATCATAAACCTGTTAATGTACGTATTCAAACACTTTTTCTTTTACCAGCTGTATTCACCTTGCAGGTGCAGCTATGTGGCTTTTATCCTGGATAAAGTGTTTAAGTCATGGATGTTTAAAGTTTAACGTCTTCATATTTGTCTAATATTAAAGTTAACTTTTCATTCAGGAAGTATGACGCTGCGCTGTCAGTACGCTTGTCCATGTTTGAGATTGGTCGAATGCTCCAAATACCACCCCTTTCATGTGGACGCGCACCTAACTAGATAGGACACGGCTGGCTTGAGCGATCCACTTGATAACCCGCGTCGTAGGACCGTTTAGCGAGAGCGCGTATGTTTTGGATTAGGCCAACCGGCTAACTCAAACATATCCAGGTTAGGTTGAACCGGCTTCGTCGTACAGGCCTCTGATGCAGAGAGGGAGGAGGGAAGAGACTATAAAAGATGAGTGAAGAGAAACGGGGGAGCTTGGGGGGACTTTTTTTAGGCTTGATTTTGGGTCTTGGGCTCTTTTAGGGCTCTGGGGGGTTCACTTGGGAACCTGTTGCTTTTGTACTTTGACCTTGTAAAGCTTTTGTTATATTTTGGATCTTGTAAATGCTCTATATTTGTTAAAAACCTAATAAAACCGGTTTGTACTTTGTACATTTCGACCCAATTCCTGGTCTCTGGTGGTCTCTGAAGGTATCTGCTTGGTCTTAGAGTAAGGTAAGAACACCCTTCCTTGGAAAAGGCTGACATTAGTTGGTAATTTGGACTTGAAATTGTTTAAGGGAAATAGAAACCCTGCTAAAGTTAAACTGTAGTTTCATATTGGTTATTGTGGTTGATGTGGTTTTGATTGATGCTGAAATATGACATGTGCTCTGCTGATGTGGTAATATCACTGCTGTGATATCAGTGTTTGACTCTGGCTATGTTTGCTTTTACGTTTGCATTGTTTTAATTGGTATAACTGGGGATCAAAGGAGGGGGTTAGGGATTGTGGGTCCTGCAGCTGCCCTAATTACCAGGGAGTCTCCCAATGACACAGGGTTTCTCCTCCAGGGGTTTTTAGTCTGCACCAGAAGATGTGTAAGCTTTCTGCTGTCCTGATGTCAATGGGGAGCTCATTCCACCATTTTGGAGCCAGGATAGCAAACCGACGTGTTTTTGCTGATGGGAACCTGGGTCCCCCTCGCAGTGCGGGTGCAGCGAGCCGTTTGGCTGATGCAGAGCGGAGTGCACGTGCACGTGCACGTGCTGGGGTGTACAGTTTAACCATGTCCTGGATGTAGGAAGGGCCAGATCCATTCACAGCATGGTACGCAAGTACCAGTGTCTTGAAGTGGATTCTAGCAGTTACTGGAAGCCAGTGAAGGGAGCAGAGGAGCGGCGTGGTGTGGGAGAATTTAGGATGGTTGAAGACCAGACAAGCTGCTGCATTCTGGATGAGCTGCAGCGGTCGGATGGCACATGCAGGTAGACCAGCCAGGAGGGAGTTGCAGTAGTCTAGGTGTGAGATGACGAGAGCCTAGACCAGAAGTTGTGTCGCTTTCTGGGTCAGGTGGGGACGTATCCTCCTGATGTTGTAAAGCGTATCTGCAGCAACGGGTTGTAGCAGCGATGTTTGCAGTGAAGGACAGTTTGTTATCTAGGGTCACACCCAGATTCCTTGCAGTCTGAGTCGGGGAAACAACAGAGGAGCCGATGTTGATTGTTAGTTCAAGAGTGGGACAGTCTTTTCCCGGAAGAAAAAGCAGTTCAGTCTTGTCAAAGTTGAGCTTGAGGTGATGAGCAGACGTCCACTGAGAGATGTCTGCTAGACAAGCAGAGATGCTTGCGACAACCTGGGTCTCTGAGGTGGGAAAGGACAGAATTAATTGGGTGTCGTCAGCATAGCAATGGCAGTGTGAGAAAAAGTTTTTAGAGAGTACTTGTCCATGGACAAGTGAGTTTGGCAATTTACTTGTCCGAATACATTTTTCACTTGTCCAGAATGGACAAAAATTGGGGCCACTGGAATCTTCTTCTTCGCCAACGTATTTTATATTTTCCCACGTTTTTTACGACACCGCTAACGTAAGTGAGCGGTAAGATTTTACTGCATCACACATAGGGTTGGGTATCGTTTGGATCTTAACGATTCCGGTTCTGCTTTTCGATTCCGGTTATTTTCGGTTCTTGATTCCGGTTCTTTGAGAGGGTAAAAATAAGTCCCATGACAAACTGGGAGAAAAACATATTTATGAAAACATTAAGTCAAATCTGTATTCCTATTTACAAATCACTTCAGACTGTTGAATTTCTTACGATTATTGAATACAATTATATAAAAATAATCTCTTCATTGTTTAGTTAGTTCTAAGTGGTACAGTTTGAGAATGTACAATTGGCCCAGTCTCCTCTGATGTTACACTGCAACCTGCCTGTGAGACAGAGTCCAACCACACATGTCCAACACATAGGCCTAATAATAATAATAATAATAATAATACATTATATTTATAGCCTATAGGCCTAGCGCTTTTCTACAACTCAAAGACGCTTGCATGCTTACACATGTCCTGCAATACACATGCTGCCCAGCTGCTCACTGTTTGTAAATAAATAGTATTTTCATTTCAATAATGTACTTTCTATACCCTGTTTCATAAACAATACTGACATCCCTGTGCTCCTCGAGTCTGGGGGTCCGGGGATGTGAGGACAGCGCGAGGACACAGACAGGGAGGCTGCTTTACTTCATAAAGGAAATGGCGTCAATATTAACAACATAGGAGCTAAAACGCTTAATAACTTTCATTACGTGTTAAAGAAAGAACATAAGAAAGTTTGACAAATATGAGGCTGTTAAACGGGTAGCGGGTCCGCTGTGTGTAGAAAGAGAGAGAAAGAGAGAGAGACGCTGAACTGCACCGTGCAGCGATCAGATGATCCGGAGCATAGAGAGAGAGAGCTGCGGTCCGCGGGGCTCCGCCTCCTGTCCTCACAACTCTTATTAATCCCGGTACCGGACAATTGTTATTTGTTCCTACTCGGAACCGAATTTTGTTTCCAAACCCTGCCACACGTCCCGCACCGCCCCGTCCCGCCCCCGTCTAACAGTACAGAAAGCGGCGAGATGCAGGAATCGACAAGCAGAACTGAAACTAACATTTCTAAACGAACAATGGCGGACACGGACAATTTGCGAACGAGTTCTGCCTTTTGAAAACTGAATTTATCTATAATTTGTCAATAAATGAGGGCGAAAAACGTCACTTGTCCGCCGGACAAGTCAATTGAAAGATCTACTTGTCCGACATTGTAAATAACACGTCCCGGACGGTGGGACGTGTGCTTTTTCGCACACTGAATGGTATGAAAAACTATGCGGGCTAATGACCGATCCGAGCGAGTTTGTGTAGAGAGAGAGAAGACGTAGATTTGTTTTGTTGTGTCTGTCGGTTGTATTGAGTTATCTTGTTTTGTGATTATTTCAGAGACACAGCCGGAGAAGGAGCACTGAGAGCAGCATGGAGGAGAACAAAAAGACCCCTGGAGCTCAGGTCAGTGTGCACTTCCTCACAATATATTCCTAACACTGTTATCCCCAAATGAAAGATCACAACCTGTTTAGAAAATACAATATTAATGCACAATATGGTTGGATATAGGCTAACATTTATCACATTACGCAACCGAACATTCCCCAAAATTAGAAATATGGCAGATTAAAAAATAATGCAAAAAAAAAAAAGTGTGCAGATACTAGAATCATCAATCAGTTTAAAGTTCAGACCAAGAATATAATTACATTAGCAAATTCAACAAAAATACAAGAAAAGCACATCCACAAACAGAGCAGAGTAGCTTACAATTCTCCAAATAGATTAACCAAATTCAAAATGTCCTCAGTAGTAGTAGTAGTTTAGTCATTTCACTTTAACCTTCCATCACTTCTGCAATGTCCCCACTTTTTATAAATTCCAAAAACAATTCCCAAATGGTGTAAAATTCAGAAGCTTTCTTCCTTAGTATATATGTGAGTTTCTCAAGAGCCAGACTCAAAGTTAAATTGTTTAACCTGTGGCCCAGGGAGGGACAACCAACATTTTTCCAACACAAAGCAATTGAGCGCCTGGCTTGTAGAAGGCATAGGTTAACCATTTTTCTTTCCCTAACCGATAGTGAACAGTCTTCTGGATAAATGCTTAAAATACAAAGTTTAGGGCTTAAAGGGGTTCGCAACGAGGTTATTTGGGAAATGTATCTTGTCACCGAAGTCCAAAATATTTTAACCTCTACACAATCCCTCAAGCAATGATACAGGGTACCTTGATGGATCTTGCATTTATAACATAGATCAGGAATGTTAGGGTTAAACTTGTTAAACATCACAAGGGTGATGTAAGTTCTCATTATCCAATTATATTGTATTAATCTAAGACGTGTATTAATAGTTTGTGTTTGTGCCTTTGAACAAATTGTACCCCAATCATCCTCTGAAATATCCTCTGAAATATCCTTTAATACGTCTTTTACTTTCCGAGTTGTCTTTATGGTTTGCAACCATTATGTTATAAAATTGAGTAACCAGCCCTTTGCTGTTACAGTTTTTTATAGACAGTATCTCTACTGTGGACGTAGGAGGTTGTTGCAACAAGTTGTTTAAGTTTGCCAATATAAAACTCCTAACTTGCAGGTACTTGAAAAAGTGTTTCTGTGGCACGTCATACTTTGTTTTCAGCTCGTCAAACGACATTAGGTTGCTGTCCTAATATGAATCTAGTAGCCTTACAATACCCTTACTTAATCATGTTTGGAAGCCCATGTCATTTTTACCTTGGCTGAAGAGTTCATTGCCCCAAATAGGTGAGAAACAAGACAACATTAGCCGCTTTAGCTAATGGGGAGTCGCCTATATATGTATGTGCTTCATGCCAGACAAACATTTTATTTTTCACAAAGGCATTCATTGTTTTTTTCCTTAGACTTTTAGGAGCAGAGAATAGAAAGCTATCCAGCATCAAACCCTTTGAAGACAACAACTCGTAACCATGGCAAATCAACTCCTCTTGAAAACCAAAACATTGTAGCCCTCAATTGTGCCGCCCAGTAGTACCACTGAAAATGTGGTAGTTGTAACCCTCCCCTATCGTAAGGTAAATACAACAGAGAGAGTCTAAGTCTCGGCTTCCTGTTATTCCAAACACATTTAGAAAGTAGCTTTCTTATTTTAGAGAAAATGGAGGAGGAGGTGCTAGTGGGATTGATTGAAAAATATATAAACATTTTGGCAATATACTCATCTTAACAGAGGTGGGAGTAAGTCCTACATGTGCAAGTCATGAGCAAGTCTCAAGTCTTGACCTACAAGTATCAAGCAAGTCCCAAGTCACTGTGGTGAGAGTCAAGCAAGTCAAGTCAAGTCATTGCTCAGGTCAAGCAAGTCAAGTCATACGAAATTCTGATGAATAAGCCCAGTTTCCGTATTTAAATCAGTTAAAAGACAGTGGTTATGAAAATGGATTTAACCCACACTATGATCTTCATTACATACACAGTTAATCATTTAAAATCTAATTTAGACCGATGACAATCATATTAGATTCATATTAACCCCAGAACTGCAGACAATATAGCTAGGACTCAGTCAAAAAGTCTGTTCAAAAAGGCAGAATTCCAGGTAAGAAAATCATATATGGCATTTGCCATTACACATATTTAATTTAAATCTCTGTTAACACTAGAACCGCCAACAGTGTCAGCACCTACATAGATATCATTTTCAAATCATTTAATTTGTTCCTCTTCATAATTTCCTTATAAACTAAGTAGGACGCTTAGCTAGCGGGATGGATTGAAAAAGATATAAACATTTTGGCAATATACTCATCTTAATTATATTAATTCTTTCCACTAAGGACAAGGCAATGTTGTCCACCTAGTGGAATCTTCTGACACTTTAGGGGTGACATGGGTTCTTAATTAGATGCACTGAGAATGTCTATCTTTGCTGTAATTTTAATACCCAGATAAGCAAAACCGTCTATGGCATTTACAAATGGGAAAGATCATTTTGGATTTCTTCCCTCCTGTTCATTGAGAAACATAATAGAGGATTTATCTTTGTTCACCTTAAAACCAGAGATTTTACCAAATTGATTGATTACTTTTAAGAGGGATTCTGCAAGACCTGATCAAATTGGTCTGTTAGAGCCACATTCGGATGATGATTTACCTGGCTTTAAAATAAGAGTTATTAAGGCACTTTGTAGCGAAGGGGGGAGGCTGCCCTGCTCGAATGATTCCATGCATACATGTATAACAATGGGGCTATCAATTTTGCATTGAAAAATGTATACATGTAAATTGGGATCCCGTCAGGTCCTGAGGCCTTACCACCTTTCATGTTAAGAATGGCATTGGAAATATCTTCAAAGTTCAGTTCCCTATTCATTGCGAGTTTTGTTTCTACAGAAATATTGGGAAAAGACAGCCCATCTAGGAAAGTGTTTTGACTTATCGAATTCAATGGATAATCAGATTGATAAAGCCTCTTATAGAACGAAACAAAGGCCTGATTAATTTCCAATGGATCCGTAGTTATTAACGTAATGTAGCTTTCGGTTTGGGCAAACTGCGTGCGCATCCCTCTCAATCCTCAATGGTAATGTTTAGGTGGATTTTAGGAACTTCCCCTCAATTCTATTGGCTCTAACGGTTAAAAAGAGGTTTCAATCACCAAAATTGACCGAGAGGTGGTTTTTTCTTCTAAACCTCTCTAAAAAGGTCAAATGTCACTTGTTTTGCATCAATCTTGATACAGGGTACTTATTATATTTCATAGTTTTGATTGCTAAAGCTTTTAGTCTACTACCCCATCATTCAAGTGTGGTTTTCACTATAAGTAATGTTTTTTTTTTTGACAGAAACTATAATTTACATTGTTTTACTATGTTAAATCTGAATTTACTTTAAAATAAAATAATCTATATCGATTCTGACAAGTCTACATCCAACTCACAGGTGTGTCATTGCTTTGAGAAAAAAGATTATTAATGTACCCCTTTTTAGAAGTGAAGATATAGTCATTTGTTCTGGGCTTGTCATTTTCGAGCCTGAGGCCTGAAAAACAGGCTCAGGGCTTAACAGGTTAAACAAATAGCTCTACATCCCTGTCCGAAATGTCCCTAAAATGAAGTCAGAGTTTGAAATATATTTCAAATAATGTATGCACTGCCATTTCCCCACATACACATCACAGTCTGCAATGAAACGGTTGTCTCCTGTGCACTCCACTTCTTACTTGGCGCACCGGTAACTTTCTTGTGCGAACGACTTTACCAAGTCAAAGTCAAGTCGAGTCTTTTATCAATGTTAGTCAAGCAAGTCTCAAGTCAAAAAATATGTGACTCGAGTCCCCCACCTCTGTTATATTCTGTTAGAATGTTGCTGTATTACTTTATCAAATATAATACAAATATAATAAACACAAACAGTTAGTAAAAGTAGTATTTTATTTTAACTGAACATTTGTATTAAAGGGCCCATGTCATGGCCATTTCCACTGATTATAATTCCATTGTTGAGGTCTACTAGAATAGATTTATATTGTGCAATTTTCCAAACTCACATTGGTTTCTCAAACAGCATCTCTGTAAACTACGTGTATTCACTGAATTTCACTCTCTGCCTTTAACGGCTCGTTGGAGCTCCAATAGCTCCAGCCCCCACCCTCCCTGTGAGCACAGTGTGCTCTGATTGGTCGGGACGTTGTGAATCGCGCTGAGCTCCGTGGAGGTGTTGTTTCCTTGTTTAGCATACACAGCGAAACACAGCCAAACTCATCCTGAGCACACACAAAGTCACAGCCGAACTAAAAACAATAAGTGTGGCTTGATATTGAGTAAGAAAAAGGTTGATAAACGCTGTGAGAATGGGTCTGCAGAGAGAATTTCACCACGATCTGTCTGTTATCAGCCTGCAGCCAGGGAGGAGAAATCAGCTGAGCTGCCTGCTCCCTGCACACAGATGTGTGTGTGAGGAAGTCCGTGGATTGGTCAATTTGAACCAATCAGCGGGGGCTTAACGTAACGGCTCCATGGATTGGTCCTTTTCATTCCGGGTATGGCTTGACATCATGCCGTACCCGGAACGAAATGGAAGAATCAAAGGGACAATGACGTATCTCCAACGAGGCGTTTTGGGGAGGTCTTTTCTGTGTTAGAGTTTTACTCGCTACAGGGTGTACTTTGAGGGTTTGTGACTCTGCACACCGTTTACATGCATAAAAACCTTCATAACACACAAGGGGATGGGTAATAACCGGAAAAGCATGACATGGGCCCTTTAAGTGAGTTTTTATTGTGTTAACTGTATATGTATTTATGTTTTTTAGATTGACTTTCTCTCTTTCTCTGTCCGTCTGTTTTAGAAACCGAAAGGAAGAGAGAGACGTCACAGCTGTCAGCAATGTGATAAATCCTTTACAAAATCTGGAAATTTAAAGCACCATCTGAGTATTCACACTGGAGAAAAACCGTACAGCTGTGAAGAGTGTGGG